AACAACAGAGAGCCGACGACCCCGGCTCCATCTCTGAGTAACTATAGTCATTCAGTCAACATGGGATATATTGACGAGAATGAGGACATCACAACCCCTACTGCCACGACGCAGCACGTTTAATAAGGGAGATCATGTTTCCGGAATACCTACTCCCGGTGGCTTAAAGAAAAAGGGATTCGGAGGGAAGTACTAACAATCCACCTTCCATGTTACCAACACCTCGTCGCATTAGCTCCGGCGTCGATCGACGTGATGGGGATATGGGCCCCCCAGAAAGGAAAAATAAACTCAGCGAAGTGGGTGAAAGTTATTAGCCTATACCATTCCGTTCACGCAACGGATTCCCTTCTCTTCGTTCTCGCTTCGCTTTTTGCTCTGCTGCATTTAGCACGACAAAATTATACTTACATGTTTGCGATATCCATGCCCTTTGATTTACGATCACGGTTCTTATGATATTTATGGCTGGCATTATTCTCGGGGTGCCTTGGCGAAATCCTTATTTTTTGAAGTGCTTTTAATTGTCTCGTGTCCCTTCAATGGGCCCCCCTTTCCATCCTTATCATTTTTTTTCTTCCTTCTGCGCCAGGATTATATTGTCTCCCTTCGTCGCCTTCAATGCCATCCCGATATGACACTATAATCCGGGAATAGTCGGGACGTTCGTTGTTGGGAGCATGTTATTCCATGAATGTTGCTTTGTATGCCACTTCTTCCCCACTCTCTCAACCTTGATCCTAAAGAAACCCACACCACCTCCCTCATGTATCCATGTTCTATACCATTGCTTTCCCCGATATATTTCGTCTTCTCTCCTTAATGACCGCTTATCTGCTCAATCATGTCACATTCCTACAACATTTTCTTCTAGACCTATGCTTTTTTCTATTCATTTTGTTGCTTCCCCCACCTTTTGTTGCGATGTTCTGTTATTTACCTCCATGAATCTATATACCTACCTAAACTTAACCTTATCGGCCCCCCCCCCCCGTGGCACACTAGTTATCAGCTACACACACCTCCTTGCTCGGTTTCTGAAACTAGTTGATTTTTGTAATTTTTTCCCTCTTATCTCTAGGGGAAATAGAAACTATTCATATTCAATGTTGCCGACTAAACTAAGTTGCATGAGACGCATTTAACACCAGAATGTGTTTTAAATACAGAGTAGTAGACCAACACCGTGAGAGTCTATGAAATAATTAAGAGCGGGGGACGATGGGTTTGCCAAGGCTACGGTGAGTTATCCATAGATTGGGAAACTATTTTTTCCATATTCCCATTTCTGTTGATGGGGGATGGACGGGGACCAAAAAAAAAAAAAAAATCATCCAAAGTTGGGAGAAGTACTTTTCTTCCTTCCTCCCTTTCGTCTTTGTTACTGCACTAATATCCACGATAAGAAGGGGCAAAGTGGTGTCTCTTCTCTCTCATTTGGAAGAATCTGATCATGTTATGATGTTGATTAACTCTTCCCCTTGAACCATTCGATCTCTATCATTTTTTCAAGCAGGCTCAAGTATGTATGCATGCCTTTTTCGATTCCCACTTTTTTCTTTTTTAATTAGTAGTATATAGTTAGCTTATTCCAACTCCTGCCCTCTATGAAATCAGAATTTCCGAATTTCCGCCCACCGCTTGCTTGTAGATACGTGCACGGGCTGGGACTGGCCCCTTGAAATTCCTTTCTCTGATGTAGAAGTCTTTTCCTAGGACGAGACACGATATAATAATATAAATGAATATCTATCATCTACCAGCCCATGCCAGTTTTTTTTTTTTTTTTTTTTTTTTTGGCCGCACGTTATCGTGATATGATTGGCAGAGTGTTATCGATGATGCCGGGATAAAAGCGGAGCCAGAGCTTGGTTTGAGCCAGCCAGCCCTACGAACCACGTTGATATTGGGATTTTGGATCGCTCTGACATATCCATATATATCAGAGCATTGAGAACCTCATGAGGCAAAATGAAATGAAGAAGACACAAAGGGACTTTCTAAATAGTATTGGCCAACAGCTGCGATTCAGCCTGGGGCCCGCAGGTGTTCGAGTCCGCTGTCACCTGTAGGATCTTAAGGTTGGTGAGAGGGGACAGTGTGCGCACTTCTTAATTTTTTTTTTTTTTTTTCAAATACTAATGGATAGAAGGATGCAATTGGCATCCCCAGCTTGATCCATTGCAAAGTGCAACTTTGGAAATGTTGACCCTAGGCTGCCTATCACGGACTAGCGCACTGCACATATACATATGCCTCAGCTGCCGACATGCTAATACAACCACTTTTAGACGTCCCACAGGAAATGCTCCCGTCCACGTGACCGACACCGGCAACTAAAAACCCAAAACCTACTAGGGCAGGCCACACGGACCAACAACGCTGATGCCAAATCGCCCCCTGGAGCGATTTGTTGGGCGATGCAAACAGGGTAAACTAGCCCGATACAGCCAGTCCCGGCATGTTGTGCGATTTGCGATGGGGACAACGTCATTTTTTTTTTTTTGGGGCTCGAGAGATGCTCAACAAACCCCCAAGCGGGCTTGCGCAAAGGAAAGCTGAGTGGAAGTTGGCGAAGGAGTCCTATTTTCGGTGCAGTTGTTTCTTTCCCGAGGAGGGCATTGCTGGATCCGATATGTCCCCCCTTTGTATTGCTTCCATCGGGTGGGATCTTTGATCTGTTCTGTTGTGGTGAGAGCATGGTTGCTGGGACCTTTTGGGGACACAACCGGTGAAACCGCTGCTAGCCTCAACGAGGAAGATCTCGTCCAGAGGTGGTGAAAAATAACAAGGCTTTACGAATAATACAAGGAACAGATACTGTGTGTTTTGAATGTTGTAGCCAGGGTTCCAGGGCTGGCAGGGCATTCAATGGCAAATAGAAACTCTCTTTGTAGGCATATTAGCGGTACCTGGCACTCCGATCATGGGATCATCGGTCCAAGTATAAAATGCTACAACCATATAGGTTTTTCTATATATCTTAAACTTTGGAGGTTGAGCAGCTTGGTAACGGTACTAGTAACCATCGATAAGGCTTAAAAATTATACGGCTCACGGCCAATGATACCCAGCCAATACGCATCCTTGGTCAGCAATCAGCCTTCCTATTTCTTCCTCCCGCTGCCTTCTTGTCTCTCCGTCTTTCCACCCTCACTCTTCACCCTTCACACTGACGTTCTTCTTCCGCTGCCGGGTGAGAGTGTCTTCTATCCTCCCAGTCAATCCCGCCTTGAGTTCTCCCTCCCTCCCTCCCTATCTCTCTCGTCTCTCCATCATTCGTTGAGAGACGTTTCTCCTCTTCTATTCCTTCCTGGGAACTCATTCTCTCCTCCGTTTCCCTATCAATGCGCACTGGAAAGGATCAGGCATTGAATTGCTCGGCCCTGTTGGATTTCTTCTTCTATTCCCCAATATATCCTCGTCTTTAATCAACTCCTTTCCCCTTCGACCATCACTCCCAAGAGAAGAAGAACAAAGTGCCAGCTTAACAGGGACCGACAACAACTAACCCCCCAACCGATCCTGTTCGTTGTTTGCCCGGCAGTCTCGAAGAAGCACGAGGACTCTATCGCGTGTTCTGCCCGTTTCATGA